AGGGAGCTCTAACATACTCTACCATGCTATGTTAGAGCTCCCAGGGAGCTCTAACATACTCGAACATGCCATGTTAGAGCTCCGTTGGAGCTCTAACAAGCCATGTTAGAACTCCCACGGAGCTCTACCATACCATGTTAGAGCTCCCAGGGAGCTCTAACATACTGGAACATGCTATGTTAGAGCTCCGCTGGAGCTCTAACAAGCCATGTTAGAGCTCCCACGGAGCTCTAACCCATGTTAGACAGGGAGCTCTAACATACTGGGACATGCTATGTTAGAGCTCCGTTGGAGCTCTAACATGCCATGTTAGAGCTCCCACGGAGCTCTAACATACCATGTTAGAGCTCCCAGGGAGCTCTAACATACTCGAACATGCTATGTTAGAGCTCCGTTGGAGCTCTAACAAGCCATGTTCGAGCTCCCACGGAGCTCTCCATGTTAGAGTCCGTGGGAGCTCTAACAAGCCATGTTAGAGCTCCCACGGAGCTCTAACATACTGGAACATGCTGATGATGTGATGGATGATGATGATGATGATGATGATGGGGATGGGGATGGTGATGATGGTATGGTGAGGGCGGTTGTGATGGTGATGATGGTGATGGTGATGATGGTGATTCTGGATGTGATGAGCACCACCATCATCGCCATCACCATCGCCACCACCATCAGCACTACGATTTGATAACCACCATCGTTACAATCGTCGTCGGCCCAGGGCGGACGATGATGAACATCATGACGACGATGATGACGATGATGATGATGACGACGATGCAAAAACAGGTTGAGTCGGTTGAGTCCGAAAACCCCGCCCTAAATCAAGCCAGTAGCGTTGTTTGCGAAGCGTTCGCTGGGCTCGAAAAGGAAGCTGCCAGACCATTGTCGGTGCATTCAAAGTTTGGGAACAGATGCAAAATTTTGACTGCTGGAGACGCGGCCGTCGAGATGGTGCCTCGGCTCGCGGGTCTGCTCTGGCAAGGCAAAGCCATCGCGCGCGGCCGATGCGGCGAAAACGCATGCAATATCAAAGCGCATTTGCAACAACTTGTGCCGCGGTACATGGACCTCGTTCAAGCTAACTTTTGGTGCGACGATTGCCTCCCCGGCGAGAATTCAGCGGGCTTCGGCGAAAGGGTGCACGGCGCGCAGAAGGGAAACATGCAGCTTCAGGGCCCGCGGCACTCGCGCGGGGGTGGCAGGCGGAAGTTTTTTTAATCGTCGAATGAGGGGCGCAATGGGAAGTTGCAGGCAAGCGCGAATTCGAATTCGCAGAATCCAGTCCGCTCGATCCTTGCGAGACTATTGCTTGGTATGTTCGGGAGGTTGGAGTCGGGCATCCCTTCTGTTTGAAAGGGCCCATCGTAGAAACCTCTTGGATGCTGAATCGCTGGCCAACCTTGCAGAAACCCTCTCCAATGCTTCTATCTTGACGCATGTATTCGGAGAGAGGAATTGTTCCAGTGAGCGACGTTGCATCTTATCGCTCCAGCAACGGCGGCGTCGCCGTTTTCAGAGCAGCATGCTGCGCCGATATCCGTTTCGGCGCAGCCCCTTCGGTCCCGCGTTCTTTCGTTATCGGCATAGTGCGCGACCGTCAATTGGACGGTGCGTTCAGCCCCGCGGGCGCGCATGTGGCACTGGAGGCGGCAAGCATTCTTGAAAACCGCATTTTCTATCATTCCGGCAATGTAATCAGAGCGTTGTTCATCAGAGCGTTGTTCATTGAGTTTTGATTGCGCGTTGCCTGTTTCTGCAGAAATACGTAGCACCCCGCAAATGCGGATAAGAGTGAAGGGGCGGTGGGGACGTCGGCAGTCTGCGAGACTCTGGAGAAGCCCGCCGCAGGCGCCAACGTTTCACATGTTATACAATGAGCCCGCCGCAGGCGCCAATCTGTTCTTCGAACCACTGTGGATCGGTCGCGGGTGGGTCGCGGGCGGCTCGCGGGTGGGTCGCGGGGTGGGTCGCAAGCGGGTCGCAAGCGGGTCGCAAGCGGGTCGCGGGTGGGTCGCGGACAGGTCGCGGGGTAGGTCGCGGGCGGGTCGCGTGGTGGGTATCGGGTGTTGGTAGCGGGTGGGTCGCGGGTGGGTCGCGAGATGGGTCGCGGGTGGGTCGCGGGTTGGGTCGCGGGTGGGTCGCGGGGTGGGTCGCGGGGTGGGTCGCGGGGTGGGTCGCAGGGCGGGTCGCGGGATGGGTCGCGGGTGGGTTGCGGGGGGACGACGGCAACACACAGCATCAACAAGAACAACGCAACAAACATAATCCCCACCATTGATTCTCATTTCAGCCGCGCACGCAGGGACAATGAATGACCGTTCGGCCTTCTCACTCTGATTCTCTTCGATGTCCTCACAGCCGATTACCCTTGTCATCTTAGCACTCTCACTGACGCACCCTCTGCAAATGTGAAAAGCTGCCGGTTTTGACGAACCAGCAACACACGCCCATACCCGTAGAGGGGGTCGGAGTGGGCTATGGTCGCGTGCTGTCGGAGGGGGGTCCCTGCTCGAACGCGAGCGTTCCCCAGGGTCCGACAACCCGCGCCCATGCCCATGGCCAGTCCTCCTCCCAACGAGCCCCCTACGGGTATGGGTGTGTGTCGTTCGTTCGTCAACTCTGTGGATGATTTGGGGGTTGCGAATGCGTTCGTGCATACATATATATATATGTGTGTGTAGATATACACATGTACACACGTATCAGTCCCTCGCGCGCCAGGGGTCAAGATGATGTGAGTTCAGATGGGGGACCTCTCAGGTAAGACGCCCGTGTTGTGACGTCGTTGTCGTCGTCGTCGCCTTCGTCGCTGCTGCGGCCAGCCGCCGCCGCGCGGCCGCCGCCGCCGTCGGCCAACGGCGCAGGCCCGCCGCCTGCGCGAGCTGTCACAAACCCCTCTGGATCATCAGGTCGCGAGTGGGGGACCTGGCTTGGGGTCGGTGTGGGTTGTGTTGTCCTCAGTTCGTGTAGGGTGATGAATAAGAAATGCCCTGGCAGGGCCATCGCGCAGCACCAGCGTCTTGGGCGATGACTGATCATGTGGGTGTTGTGTTTGCTCGTGGTCGTCGTCGTCGTCATTGCGGTTCATCATCCGCTGCAATAAATTCCCCAGTGGCAGATGCCTATATGTTAATTGGGTTCCCATTCATCTTTGTATCAATCGTCATCCAACTTTACGGCAGGTTTGCGCCGTGCCGCCGTGGCGGTTACCTCGGCGCGACGGCGCGAGTGTTTTATGTTGGACGCCGATTGTGGCCCAGGATATACCGATATCCAACGATTCGCGCTACTGGAAGGCCGAGGTTGAAAGATCCACGCGGTGTCAGTGATCCAGCGCAGAGGTCGCCACGGCACGATATTGACGTGGAAGAGCCGTATTCATTTCTCTGCATATTCCTTCCAGCTAGTTCCTCCTCTTTCTCCTCCTCCTCCTCTTCCTCCTCCTCCTCCTCCTCCTCCTCCCTCTCTTAGGCGTTCTGTCATGGGCCCTCTGTTAAATGGGACACTTGCAGCTTTCGCTCCGAAGGACCGTCGAAAACCGTCAGATGACCGTCCGAAGATCGCTCAAGACCAATGGGCAGCAACGGGTCCACGGTCGTATGCGCAGCCCCCCCTCCCCGACGTGCCCTTCCTCGAAGGAGCGCCATGGCGGCTGCCGCGGGCATCCCAGGAGGGCTCCCGCCACCGCCCAGCGCCCTCGGCCTGAGGCTCTGGAGCGGCGCGCTGCCCCTGTGGTTGCACCGCAGCCACGGTAGCAGCTCGTCCACCGCCGGGCCGCTGGAGGCGCCCCCGCACGGCCCATTCCGATTCGATCGATCCGATTCGATCTCGAGATCGCCGAGCTCGATCCAGTTCGATTCTCCCGCATAGCTCTCTGAGAGCTCAGAGGGTTTCGGCAGGGTGACCCGGGAGCTCGTTCCAGCGCGGGGAAGGGAACCTCGCAGCGCCCTGCTTGAAGCTGCAGCGTGTCCCGGAAGCGCTTTCCTCCTCGTTCCAAATACGCGTGCCGGAAGTCTTTCCGCAGCTCCCTCGAAGCTCTTTCGGAGTTCCTGCGAAGCTGCTTTCTCGAGCTTGCCAACTCCCGAGACATCCTTTCAAGCGTCCGTGCAAATGTCTCCCATAGGCGTTTCACGCGTCTTGAACTGCGTCGCTATCCAGGTTTGGGACGCCACAAGCAGGTTTTCAGCGATCCGATGCGGCCCGATGCTCGCGTGGCGCAGCTGTGCATCTGGGCGCAGCCGATTCGATTGGATTTCGAGTCCGTGCCGATGCAGCCCGATACGACGCACGTTCCGATCTAAGCCATGACCCTGTTCGAAGCTGACTCGCGCAGTCAGGGCATCCTCGAACTTCGGGGGTTCGACGATGTTGCTCGGAGGAGGGCCAGTCAAGACAAGGGCGGCCCTCAGTTGCATTTCTCGTCCTTACTGGGCCTCCCGAGGGCTTCTCGCCGCCATGGCTGGATCCGCATGGAAAAACTGCTCAGGATTGACCCCGGGAGGGGTCGGGACTGATTTTGAGCCGATGCGGGCCGGCCGGGAGAGCTGCCGTTGCACCCATTGCCCCTCCGAGGGGCTTGCAGGGGTGGTGCCCTGAGGACATCCAGGCCTCGAACAGAGTCCGAGTTGGGGGGGGTCGGTCGGATGATCGCGCCGCACTGCCGATGCAACCGTGATGCGGCGCGATGTGGAGCCGATTTTCTCCACGCCGACGATGCCACTGCATGGGATAATGCATCGGCGATGCGGCGCGATCCCCCGGCCCCACCTACGCTGACCTCTCTTGTTAGGCCTCCAGGACAGGACCTAACGGCCTTCCAGGTTGAGCTTGCATTGTTCGAGGCCTCCTCGCCCTAGAGCTCCATGTCTCGTGGCCCCGATTCATAAGTGCCGAGAACGGCAGTGGGCGTTTTCGAGCGTGCTCGAGCAGTTCCGATGCGGGAGTTTGTGATTGTCCACCGCCTGAGGAGCTGGTGTCCCAGGACTCCAGGAGGCGGTGCATGTCGACATGTGTATCGGGCCCCCTGCCACGTTCGGCCTGGTAATATCAATGCCCACTGCCTCAGCTGAATTGCAGGACGGGGGTATGCATACTTATACATCCTGCCTCGTAGCTATCCCTCACCGTTCCGAAAACTTTCGGTTCAGATGCCGTCTGGCCAAGGAATGGATGGTGAGCGGATTCTGGTTGGGGGGCAGTACATGGATGTTGAATGTGAGTGGCAGGTTGCTGTTTCCGAGGCGCGCGAAAACAATCTAGAGGCTTTCGCGTCACGAGAGCCGCAGCGGTTTCTCCGAAATTCCCCCACCCCTTTCGCTTCGCCTTCAGGGCCCACGACGAGGAGGAGGAGGAGGTGGATGAGCAGGACGAGGAGGTGGAGAAAGACGAGAATAGTGACGAAACGGATCAGGATGGAGGTGGGAGGAGAAGGAGGAGTAGGTTGGTCTCCTTCCTTTTCGCCTCCTCGTCTTTCTCATCGTACTTATCCGCAAAGTCCTACTTCCCGCCGCAACATTATATAATCCTCCGTCTCATCTTCTGCTTCCTGTCTCCTTTTTTGCAATCGTATTCCTTGTTTTCCTCCTCCTCATAACCTCCAGCACTCATCATCGCCACCCATATCTTCTCTTTCCTCCACACCTTGGAAAGATTATTTTCCGGGGGGGAACCCCGCCCATTCCCTCCGCCTTGCCCGCCAGCGTACGATCGACGATGCAGGCGGCGATGACCACGACGATGAAGAGGACGACAAACGACGCCGAAGACGACGACGATGCTTTTGTCGTCGTCGTCGTCATCGTCGTCGACAGCGAGGACGGCGACCACGACGATAAACATGACGACGCACGATGACGTTAAACACGATGACGAAGAGATACTGACGAACGCGACTACCACGGCGAACCTGGCGACCACGACAAGCACGACGACGAGCACCATTCGCGACGACGAGACGTCTACGACGACGGCGGGGACGGCGACGAGGAAGAACACGACGACGACGACGACGACGGCGACGACCGTGACGCCAACGACGACACTAGCGACAACAATGACGAGGACGCTGACGCAGGCGACGACCCCGAACCGTGATGCACGAGCGAGGTTTCAGTTGAATGTCTTGCTCGCCAGCCCGCCTGCTTTTCTATGCCGCCCGTCCAATCCACCTGTTAGTGTCCCGCCCGCCCGACAGGCCCGTTAGGGTCCCGTCCGCCCGACCCGACTCTTAGAGTCCCGACCGCCTGAAGATTCTCAGGCTTACGCCGCACCGCCGACCCCTTTGGGGACTGGCGGTTGTGATGTGTTGTTCCTGGGGGGCCCTTGGGTGCCTTCTGAGGGTTTCTTGGAGCTTTTTTGATGATTGAACGAATGACCTTCGGCGCATCCCGCCACCGTGCCTGGGCTGCGGGTCGGGGGCCTCGCGGATGGCAGATGGGGTCTCGCGGGAGGCGTCTCGGGAGCGTTTGGGAGGCAGTTTTCGCACCTATTGGGGGCCTCCTGGGAGCCTCTTGGTGGTTTTGGGGGGCCAGGGGCGTCGCCAGCAGTAACGACCCCGACCTGATAGATGGTTGTACGAGTTCTTCCGGAGCCTGCCGTTGAGGTGGCCCCGATACCGTAGGCGGCCCCCATGTGCCACCTGGGCTACGCGGCCAGGCAACGTCAGCCGGCCAAGGGCGCTGACGTCGCCCTCCTGGCGCTCCAGCTGCGGGGCTGATGCCGACGGACGCCGAGTGCGTGGACCAGCCGACGAAGGTGCCGCTTCGGCCTGCTGCCGGGCGACCTGCCGCGATGTCGAAGCGCAGCAGGGGTTCACCAGTGTGCGTCAGGGAGGTGGTGGGCCTTTACCAGTTTGCGAGGAGGGCTGCGATGAGATCCAGAGACGCGACGAGTTGTACATGGTTGGGCCCCAGGGCTACTGCGACGCATGCGTGTCCACAGACATGGTGGGCGACGACGGGGAGCAGGGCGCCTGGCCCTCCAGCCCGCCGCGACATGCGCCACGGGCCGCCCAGGCGAGCCGCCCGGACTGCCACGCGAGGGGCCAGTGGTTCGTCGACGTCGACGGCAGCAGTGGCAAGCGGGCCGCTGGGCAGGACGTGCCGCCGCCACCTCAAGGAGGCAATCGTCGCGGCGCAGCGGGGCACCAGGTTCGCGCCCGCGCCGGGCCGGCAGGACCGAGAGTCAAGATTACACGGTACGCCAGGGGGCCCATGAAGAGGGTGCGGAGGAGCAGGCCAGAAAGGCATTCGCGGCAGCCGTTTTTGCAACGGAGGTTGCGCTTTGCGCCGCCAGTCGAGGCCCCGCGCGCGAGTTCCGCCCCTGGGCCCCGTCTACATTCCCAGTTCCAACTTCAGCTCCGCGTCTGTGAGCGACGGGGGGAGCGAGGACTACGGCGAGCAGTGTCAGGAGGGCGCCAACGACCCGGCGCGCAAGGTTTCCGACGTGTCGTCCGAGATCGACTCGCACGCCCGGGCATGGACTCCCAGTTTTTGCGCCTGGCCGAGCGCAGGGCCATGAGCCGCATGTTGGCCGCGCTGGGGCCACCACGGCCAGCCGCAACACATCGCAGCGCGTCGCCGCTGCCATCGCCGCCGAGTGCGGGTTTGGAGCTGTCCGGGAGGGTATCGCTGTGGCGCCGCGCCGCGCAGCTGCGAAGGCGCGGGGCGCGAGGCCATCGGGCAGGAGGCTTGATGGGCGCGTCTTGGTCCTGGCCGTCGAGTCAGACCAGAGGCCGTGGTCGGCTGGCACGCCAGCCGTGACACTGAGCCTGGTCATGGTCATCTGTTGCGCGGGCACGAGCGGCATGGGCGCCCAGTTCCGGCCCCTGGCAGAGTGCAGGGTCAGGCGCCGCCTGCCGGCTGCGCCGAGGCCGCCGCGGCCGCCCGCAGCACATCGCCGCGCATCGCCGTTGTCACCGCTTCCGAAGGCGGGATCGCAGCGGCGTCTTCCTGTGGCGCGGCGCCGTGCAGCAGCCGCTGCGACAGGCCGACGCCAGGCGAGTCGGTCGGGTTCGTTCTGCGCAAGTCGGGGACGAGCCCAGCCCTTACCCCATCAAGCGTACGACTGGTCGTTCCACATCTTCGATGGCCATTGCGACCATGAGCGTTCGGCGCCCCCGTCGTGCTTTTGTGCAGTCCACTTATCTTTTTGCTTTGCGCCCGACAAGTTGCGTCTATAATATTTGCATCCATTTGTTTTCCTGGAGGCGCCTCGGCCTCAGGCGCGCCGCAGTGCTCCCGTTTCGCAGGTCCCGTGCGGGAGCCGCGCGTAGTTCGTTGTTCAAAATTGTCCGTTTCACGTGCGCGTTTGGAGGCGTACCGGCTTCGGGTAGTTATGCTTGAGTGTTTTCGCCTCGCAGGTGCCCCTTGCGGACCCGTGGTTGGTTGCTTCTTTTCGCTCGCGTCCCGCGCCGTTTGTCGACGGCAAGGACAATGGAGGCGGGGGTTATCAGTTTTCTTCTGGGGTGCGTCGGCAGGCGTGTCGGCCTTAGGCGTGCGCGGCGGCCTTGCCCCGAAGACGGTCAAGCTGCAGGCAGAGAATGTCTAGCTTCCCTGATTGCGATGCTGGCAGAGGGGCCACCGTGGCCGACGCCAGTTGCTTCTGGTTTTTGGGCCCCTGCCTGACGGACTGCCGCGTGCATCGTCGTTCGAGGGCCAAGATAAGGTGGGTGCTGCTACCCCGTGCTGGACTGCGAGCTTCGCGGGCAGTCACACCCTTTCCCGCCGGGCCCCAAACCGCCCAGAGATAAGTTGCAACCGTCCTTTGGACAGACGCTGAGATTGCCGCAGTCTACCTCCCTCCTCTGTTCCCTCCTGTGTCCGTTCCCCCTTCTCCCTCATACTGCGCCCCCGCATCCTTCATCATCGCATCCTCCTCTCCTTGTTTTCCGCTTCCTCCGCTGACGGCTGTGCGGCGGAAGCGCATGCGTAGGACGCAGAGGGAGGACGGATGATGGAAGAGGCGTGGGGAAGCGGAAAAAGGAAGCAGCGAGGATAAAGGGACGGCGGAGGATGCAGGATGGTGGAGGGCGCAAGGAGGAACAATTTGAAACCGAAGTCGAGTGCGGATTGCGAGGATGACGTGGCAAGTGTTCTTATTACCTCGTGTGCGTAGTGCGGTGTTACCACATTGAGCGCGTTGGGCAGGCATCTCGTTTCGACGTGAGCAGGACCAGATGTTGCGCCGCATTTGCAAACAGTGCCATGCGCGCGCGTGCGTGTGGAAGTTTCGTGAGGGTGGAGGAGAAGATTTCGCCATGGAGAAACGGGGTGCAACTCTGACATGTTCCACAACTTTCGCGATAGAGCGTCCCCAGGGCCCTGGTACCGCCAATCAATCAATGATTCAGGATGGGGATTGTTGATTTGCGGAATTCTCTCGGGGTTCAGGACCAGTTTCCCTCAGGACCTGCCTCTTTCATGCCAAAGGTTCGGTATTCGCATGTGCCGGGCCCTTTTGAGCCTTTCGCGGGTCCTTGTGGGCTGACCTGCGCGCGTAGTCATTTGTGCGGCGTGAAGGTTCGAGCGCAGGGCGCGCCCAACGAGAGGGTGTGGGATGAGGGAGGGCGAGAGGGGGGCAATGAGGAAGGGGGAGGCAGGAGTTGTCGCGAGGGAGGTCGCAGGGAGCAGGAAAAAGGGAGGATTGAACTGAGAGAAGAGGATGGACGGAGGAGGGAGGTGGAAAGAAGGGGGATGCTGGAAAGACCAGGGAGAGGAGTGAGCCATAGGGATAGGTGGTAGCAGGCAGGAGAAAACAAGAGGAGCAGGCAGCAGGGGTTGCGAGAGTTGGACGGGGGGGGGTGGGCGGGGCACGCGGTGACTGGGCCGCTTAGCCCCCTGGGCGCCGGCGTTCGCGAGAGGTGCCTGTGCTAAACAGGGGCGTCTCCGCGGCACAGGGCGCGGTCGAGAGCGCCGTCTTTGCGGGCCCGGGTCGGGGGGTCGGCCGGGTCGGGCGACGAGAGACACAGTCAGATCGGAGGAGCACATTGTCGTGACAAGAGTTTACGCAGTTTTATATGATGTTGGCATATTTTATCTCACCGAGTTTTCCTAGCCTGAACATGCGGCCCTCTTTCCTGAACTGTAGTTCTGTCATCTCAAAGGAGGATCGGACAGTTGCCCGCCGAATCGTTGCAAGTGTTCCTACCAGGGTTTGGGGGCACGGCCTAGGAGAGATTATGTCTCATCGGGATGGTGGGTCACTGCAGCCGCGCCTTTCCGGAGCTTTCCGGGGCGCCGTGCCATCCGGCGCAGCCGACGTGCAAGCGGAATGCCTCGCCCCCCCCCCCCCCCCTACCGGGCCGTGGTAGCAGACGCGGGAGGTCAGGCAGGGAACGTGCGGCGCGACAGAGAGAGGGAGGCAGACAACCGTAGCCGCTGGCTCAAGTGAACCCAGCAGCACAGGCACAAAGAAGCCCAGACCCATCCCCAACAGACCCGCCACCGGGCACCGCTAAGTGGGCCCGAGGGGCGGGAACAGGGAAAAACACACATCTGCCTCCACCTTCGTCTGACGGCCACCTAACAGCAGCCGCGGCGGAGAACGAGGGGGGCAAACGAAACACCGCACCAACGCGCACCGCCAAGCGGGCGTGAGGGACGCGGTTCGGCGTTGCTGCTGTTGCACCCGCGCCCCCGTCCCGTGGACCTGCGGCCGCGGCGGGAGGCAGTGGGATCAAGAAGGCAGCTTCAACGGAGAATCCGCACCCCGTCGTCGAAAGGAGCGGGGGCGAGGGCCTGCGCGCCCAGCCCGCGACTCTGACGCCGTGCCAAATCGGCCAAAACAGGCCAAGTAATGGGGGCGAGCAACACAGAACGCCAGTCTCGCGAGGGCGAGGGGCCCATGCCGGGCTCGCCGTGATTCGGACCAGAGTCAGACCCAGCAGCAGAATCAGAACCGACACCCGTTTGGATCGGGCACTCCCCTCCCCCGTCTGGCCAGGGGGGGGGGGCACGCACATCAGGGGAGCGCGGGTCTCGCGAAGGGTGGGGGCTCCGTGTTCCCCCCCCTGCTGTGGACAAGGGTGATGGGGTGCTGCGGGCCCCGTGGCAGTGTGCGACTGCTCTTGCCCCGTAGTTTGATCATACGCTTCTAACCCGTATGTTTCGCGAGCGCCCCCAGGAGTAGAGACCGGGATGCGTGAAAGAGTTGCGCCCGCGTATCCATCGCGTATTTGGACACCTGCAAATGCCGCTCCTAGGGGCACTATTTCAGACCATAGGATATACTGAGGATTCAGAGTATATGAATTCACTTGTGCGGTGGTTCCCGATGTTCGGCACAGGCATGTTGACTACAGGGTCTGACCCAGCGCAGGACTCCCGGGCAGTGCGGCCAGCAACAGATTCGGCAGCGAACCCTAAAGACCATACTCCAGAAAGGATGCGGTCGGTGAGCGTTAAACTTGATCCAGAGCTGGACGAGAAGTTTGGTACAAAGTCCATGAACCCTCTGCGAGGATACGCTACTTTCCGTGACTTACCGGAGTATGATTTGAATCACGTGTGCTTCACACCACGTTCCCCAAAATGGGAATTGAAAGAGACGGGCGAGTGGACGGCCCGACCGATAAACGATTTCAAGCGCCCGGGCGGAAACGAAATTGTCGGCCTGACTCAACGATATACCCCGTAAGAGTTAATGTAGCTGTGGGCTTTGATGACATCGTGGGAAGAAGCGTTCGGGGACCACGCGCAGATCTCGGGCTTCTGGGTGCACTACGACATGGCCTTCCGACAAGTCCCAAACTACCCAGATCAGTCGCATCTGACGCTGGAGATTGCGTGATGAGTCCACAAACTCGGGGACAGTGCTCGCACTGTCGCTGCGTTTGTGGGCTTGCTCGAGTGCCGCTCCTGCGTCTGCCCTGCCCCCATGCCTCTTCCTCGTCCTCGGGGCGGGGGGGGGTCGGGGTGCAGGGCCGTGGGTGGGGGGGGGATGCTGGTGCTGCTCTGCCTGTGCTGCTGCCGCTTTTGCGCTCTTGCATTATCTTGTCCGCGGTCCGCCCATGTGTGGCCGCTGGCCTGTTGGCCGATGTTGTGAAGCTGGCGGGCACTTGTCCCGCTGCGCCGGGCCACCGCGCCGTGATGCGGGTGGTGTTGGGGCGGCCTCGAGGGGCCCGTCCGCGCGCGGTTGCGCGCGCTGTGGGTTCGCCTCTCTGGGGAGGGGACCCCGCGAGGCCCGTGGCGTGCACGCTGCCCATGCGAGGCCGCGTGCCGCGTTTTGTCAGGCCACAAAGCAGCCCATGTGTGGCTCGCCATTGCCAGCAGACCTGGGGGTCCTTGCTCGGCGGCCCATAAGTGGCCAATCGTGAACAAAGCAGCCCACGCGTGGCTTGCCAGTGCCAGCGGACCTGGGGGTCTTTGCTCGGCGGCCCATAAGTGGCCAGAGTTGACAAAGCAGCCCATGTCTGGCTGGCCATCGCCAGCAGACCCGGGGGTCGTTGCTCGGCGGCCCACGCGCGGCCAACCTTGTGCCAAGCAGCCCATGCGCGGCTTGCCCCGCCCGATAGGCTTTTGCGCGTCACCCGGCGCGCCGTTCAGAAGCGCTGCGAAGCGAGGGTTTTGTGCGTCCGCGGGTGACGGCGCCAGGGCGCGCGCGCGAATATCGCATCGTTTGATTTTATTGTTGCAATGGCGGACGAGGCCGCGAAGACCGCGCTGGCCGAAGCGATCCCCAAGGTTGAGGGCGCTGTTGGTCGTGATCCCGCCTAGAACACCATGATTGCTGAGGCGCTGCATGCAGCTGGCGCGCGGAACTGGCGCGAGCTCGCCGATGTCCGCGTCGAGGATTTCGCGTTGCCTGCGGGAGAGACAGGACTCGGCGCCGGCCGAGAGGCCCATGCGCGCAGGGCTCTCGCCGCTGCCGCCGAGGAAGGCGCGCGAAGCAAGGGGTCGCGGACCCAGGGGCGGTGCTTAAGGCGTTGCCCTCGGGAAAGAAGCCCGACGAGGTGCCGCGTCCACCGGGGTTGCGCGCGCGGCGATTTCGGCGCCGCGCAGGCGACGTACCTCGAGTTCGCCAGCGTGGCGTCCGACATCAGCGCGGAGGGATTGTCCGCGGAATGTTGGCCCAGGCGCTCGCGCATGTTCGCGCGCGCGGCGCAGTTTCGGCGCCGCCCCGCGCGCAGCTCGCACCGCGTGGACGAAATGGCCGCAGGGGCGACCAAGCTCAAAAATATCGGCGTTGCCTCGCCGTTTGCGCTAGTCAATTCGCGGGTCTCAAAATAATCAACCAGGAAGAGGACAAAGGGAACAACCTCTCCATGGCGCGCTGGTTTCGCGATCGAGCCCGCGCGACGCGCTGCTTTTTCTGCGGGGTCTTTTCGATCTGGCCAACGCCATCAAGGCCAACGGCCAAGAGGGACATCGCAAGACGACGGTGCATCTGCCCCAGCGGAAGGCAGCATGGAACAGGCGCCGCGGTCGCGTGAAGCAGCGCCGCCGCGAGATTACGTCTGCGCTTCGCACGGGTACAAGCTGGCGGCCGCCGCGACTGGCCAGCTCAGCCTGGCGGCGTCGCGGGCGCATCACGAGATTTGCTCGCGCGTGGCCATGAATGCCCACGCGCACAAGCGCCGCGCTCACATGGCAGTTCACTGCGACCAGGCCCAGCGCGCAGCGTGCGCCAAGGATGCGCAACCGCTTTTGATATGCGAGCTCGCGCGGACTATGTGGGCTGAACGGACGAGGGCCGGCGAGCATGATTTCAACGCGGGAAAGGCGGCGGTGAAATTCAGCTTTTGGGTCTTGCTCCAGGGGGGGCGCGGCGGGGCGCGCTGCGCGCGGGAAGTTTGCGATGCCCTTGCGCCGCGCAGGCCGAGGGCGCGCGCGACCGCGATGGGAAGCCCGACGCGGGCTCAGGGGGCGGCAGCAAAGGCGGGGCAAGAGGTTCCAGCGGCAGCGGCACAGGCGGAGGCACGCAGAACGACCGCCGCGGCTCGCGGTCGCGCGGCGATGGGAAGGGCCGCAGCACGTGGTCGAGCGGCCGCTCCCCGCGGCCCTCTGGCGACCGCAGGCCGCGCGCGCCGCCCAGGCCCGCCGGGTGCCCAGGTGACCGCGAGCCGCGCGCGCCGCCCAGGCCCGCCAAGAAGGCGCGCAGCGAGTGGCCCTGAGGCCGTGGGCTGTGCTGCCCGCGAGTGGCGCGGCGCCCATGTGCGCTCTCGCAATGGCCTCTGCCGCGCCCTCTATCAATTTCGCATTTGCATTGCAATCGTCCGACGTGCGTTTCAGCACCGCAGCGAAGCGGGGGTCGGACCGCCCGCGGGCGGCGGCGCCAGGGCGCGCGCAACACTTGGAGCTTCATCTTTGTAATCATCGCGCGACGCGGCAGCTGCCAGCTCCCCCTCGGCCGCCGGGGACCCGGAACAGGGAAGGGGCCCCGCGGCCGCCGTCGCCGCCCCGCGCACGGGCGGCTGGGGCCAAGCGCAGCCGCGCGGGCAATCTGGCAAATCGCTCCAGCCAGGCCCGGGCTTTCCGCGCAGCGAGTAGCGACGCAGCGCGCGCGCGTCGCACGCAGGTGCCGAATCAATCCGCAGCAAACATTGATATGTTGGATTTCGCCGCAAGGGTTAGTCAAGAGGTGCGCAGCGCAGTATGAAGCGCGAGCGGTCCGCTGCTGGAGAGGCTCGCGCACATATCGGGGTTTGCGGATCTGGGGTGCATCGAATTTTTCCGATGGGGCGCCCCCGTAGCGGGGCCGCTGCCTCCCTCTGGTTCAGGCGCGCCGGCGGCGCGCGACAAAGTTGCGCCGGTCGTCGATCTCTTGAGATCGGCAGCAAAGGCCAACGCGGCAGTGTTAGCTCCTTTGCGCGAAGGCAAGCATGCGAGCGAATTGCTTCGCGTCGCCGCGCAGGACGTCGCAGCGGGGAGCATGCGCGAGCTGTCCAAACCCGGCAACCTCCATTTTTAGCCCCGTAATTCTCTCA